TAACCTCCCCCTATCGTAATCGGCTTTGCTATCGCACTATTCACAGCTTTATGTGCTGACGTCCGCTTCGAAGCTCCGATAGCTACTCACAAAAAGAGGTACCTGGCTGTAAAGGTGTTATTGTTATCAATAGCATTGGACGTTTTTTTTCTCATCGCATATGAAGTGCTATGAATCAGTCAGTCCGTCACACGTCGGCGCCGTCCATCGTTGGAGGCACATCGCGCCAACAGCACCACCACCACTGCTGCCATTGTGATCGTCCGATTGTTCACCTTGATCGGGGTGCTTTCATTTCGGGATCGATCCATACACTCAGCGTCCATTATTGCTTTTCACATAATTTCGGGCGCAGAGATAGCCTACGATCCGAATTTGATTATTTTAGGCATTTGCGAAGCACGTATGTCCCTCGTCCATATGTGTCCTTATTCAGGGGGGCGAAAATTCGATTACTATAGAGAAGAGGGCTCTTGTGAACGAAGGACGGCTTTGGGTTTATTAGAGACCCTTTCTTCCTTCTCCTATTGATGTGACCTAGCTTCAGTCCATGTACTCTATGTGGTGCCGTTTCAGCTCGGTGGGAGCACCAAATGGTGCGCACGGACACTTTACACAGGCCAAATCTGAAAACCTTTAAGTTCTTGGCTCACTTGTACCATTACGCAGCTTCGGGGCAGAGTTTATCAGTTTATCACGACTTTGGTAGTTGACATGAATTATCAAAGGAAAGTGCGAAAGTGACCCCACCCCACCCCTCTTAGCCGAACAGCGCCACTATTGCTACAATTTGGTGTCGTGCAGTAGTCGTTTCGAAACCGTAGTGGTATGTAGTTTTAGATGTTGAGGAGGGTATGAAAAATGGAAGGTGTGGAATCTTAATCTGATTCTGAGGCCTATTTTTTGGCAACTTCTCCGCTCACCAACATTCGAGTGTATTAGCAATTTCAACACCGGGTTGCTGGGGTTTCCAGCGGGAGAGTGACGGGAGTCCTGTCGCTAGGGAGAGCAGGAGATCATAATCGTTATGTTCAGATCTGTCTGCATTCCTCTTTTTAATTACCCCTTATTCGCTCAACCTCGTTAAGGAAGGACGTTGAAGGTCCTGTCCGTTTTATAAAAATCATTCAGCCACCTCAACCAACGGTGGCTGGACTTAGGTTAGTTGCGGTGCACTGCCGCTTCTGCCTCCTTCTTGCGCTGACTATACTGGCACCTTGTTCCAGTCTTTGCATCATACCCTTCTTCTCATGAAAACTTTAATCGATGTTTCGTCTATACTTCGTACAATATTTGGGCAGTGATAATGATGACTCACCTAGGGTCTTTTTTCAGCCCTCATACCGCTCACAATTATCCTGAATGGGGAAACTCCCACCAACGCAACGTTTTTGCCGAGACCTGGGAGTTTATCAGTGGGAATTCCCCCATGTGAGGAGTAAAGGGGGTTATATTTGGCTTCGTGACGGCTTGCGTCTTTACTTCCTTTATCTCCGGTAGAGTCGCAGATTTCCTAACTTTGATAGTTGGTTGGGAGGGAATCCATCTCCTTCCGCTCGAAAGAAGGCCGAGGATGGGAGTCGTATCTAGGGAATTAATGGCATCTGATGTTGTTTCGATGTGCCAATTCCTCAGAGTTCGTTGAGCGTTTAATTGCTCAGCTTGGGTTTCGTCATCTACCTGAGGTCTCGCGAGCCGTAATACCAACAAAGGATGAAATCTATATGTGAAGCTCGGGCTTTGTCCGCATTCTAACGAGATGTATGCTCCAAGAAAGATGTGCGAAGCCGCGCTGAGTCCATGATGTCGTGGGTACAGATCTCATTGTTAGCTCGAAATTTGCCAGGAGCTATCCAATTATCGGGGGGCTCTGCATACTGAACGCTACCGAACGTCCTGGACAGTTAGATCAGCTTATTGGTATGGTAGATTGCCGACACATGAATCAAAGGGGCAAAGCACATCTCCCTCACCCATGACCAGAATAACGATCCGCCGTGGGAGGCGTTCATTCACGCTAGCTTGTGCAAGTACCGAATCCAGGCTATCTGCAGATCAAATGTGGATGAGTGAACTTCTACGTCTGCCGGTGGTTTTTCCGTGTTGTTGTCAGGTACCTGTCCTACCACAAGCAAATGTAAGGTGTTACAGCGCAATTCATGAATTCTACAGCAAATCGCCATTCCTTGTCGGTTCTGAAACAGCTTGAGCCTGACTGCATTCTCGAATTTCCCGTGAAAAACGAAAATGCACTTTCGAATCCTTTTGACAAGCTGTGTCCCATGTGCATGCGTCATGCACTGCATACACGGCCTTTGCATAATCTGTCCCTTTTAGATACTCTTCCAGCCACGGGGAGTTTCATTTTTAACATGCAATGTGTTCTTTGCTCATAGTAACCCATAATAAAACCCATAAACCGGCAACCGATAAGAATGCCAACAGGTCTTTTATGAGTCATATTAAATCTGCAAAAATTTTGTTGAAGACATTGGAAACAGGCCTTGTCTTACACTGGGGGTCGTCAGCTGGGACGTAGAGTTTGGTCGCTCGAAGGGGGGTCACATTTCTTCCGAGGGGAATTTTTCGAATCGTTGACTTCTTCCCATTTTTCCTGCTTCATTTGCACTTTACACGCCTCCCTTCGCCGGTCGATAGCAGTTTTTTTTAAAAGTAGCAGAAATTTTCAGGGTAGTGAATAGGGAATTGCTGGAAAATGTGTAGCAGGGTTGGGGAAGGGAGGTGTCCGTACCAATGGAGAGAACACGAGGAATGAGTTCGCATTTGCTTAACAGCGGAGCAGGACATGTCCTGATTGGAAAGATTTCCCATTCACTCGAGCTCCTTTGGAACATGCCATTATCTTCGACTACTCTTCAGCTTTGACGATTTGGAGCGAAGGATTGGATAGCTGGATATATGACGTTTGAGCGCACTCTTTCGCCTTTCCCGCAAAAACATTAAATTCCCAGTCGTGAATGGCGTACACTCCCGCTTGCAACCAATTTGGTTCGGGAAAGTTTCTGCGGTTTTCTACCGATGACTACCTCCTGCTGCATTTGTTTGTGAATAGAAGAAAGTAGTAGTTCATGGGTGAAGGTTGTTTTGGCAGTCGAACCACCCATCTTCCCATGTTTTCGTAGGCCATCGCATGTGGCAGCGCTTCGCTGCACTCCTTCACTAACGAATGAATTCCCTTCCTCCGTACGACCGCTATCACCGCAAGAAGGGATATCGCTTTCCATAGATTTTCAATTTTCGAAAATTCATCGTTATGGATTGAACGTCCACCGACCCACCTTTTACATCTAGCTTCTTTTCATTGTTGGCAAGTCATTCGTCATTGGCAAGCGGCACGCCCACCATGCGGACGGCCCGGGATCGAATCCCGGATCGGCTCCCGCATCAGGCCAACCAAGCCGTCCACCCTGTAGGCATTGTAAGTCCGCGCTGTTCTAGACTCTGGCCCGGCGGGAGGAAGGAATCGGTACTCTGAGAGGAGAAGTACAGACGAACCATGTCGCCATGGTCGCCTTACCCGCAAAGCATGGGCCCCCTTCGACTACATCACTGAAACGACTCTGAACCGGAAGGTGAAGGCTTGATACTATGGGTAAAGCGCTCCAGGGTGGGAGCCCCTTAACCCTACCGCGGAACTCGTTGGCTACACTAAGGCTACTTTCTACTTTAGTTCAGTACATCTACCAATTTCTTCTGATCGTTGAATTCATGATAGACTTCTCCTACGAGCCCATTTCGATGGCCTTACACTACTCTCTCTTAAGCAGGCTACAACTATATAGCGCTGTCCCTCAGCTGCCTGATTTCCAGGCTTTGTCTGATGGTTAGATTAAGCTCCCAATGCGCAGTCATATGTGCGATTCGACAATGTTAAACAGATTGTTTCCCCCTGGGCCTTGGCCAAAGTCCACCATCAACTGACAAATAGCAACTAAACGCTTGCAGAACAGCAGGTAAGCACAGAGGATGGTTTTTGTTCCAGAGGTCCTCCTGTGAGCCACCGATCAACCTGGTAGAACAAGGGTGTTGTACTCGTCCGTATTGAACTCGGTGGTCTATGAAACTTTCGCCTAGTAGTATCGATTCGGATTTGAGTGCTGTAATGCGGTAATCACTGCGCTGCGAATGGGCGCTACACTTTACGGAACGCTCCTGCCGCTGCCTCCTCTGCTCTCACCTCGTCCGCCACACATTAATCCTCTGCCTCGCTCACATTGAGTCGATGGTTTTTTGGTCATTGGAAACACCCGCTAACGCCATCCGTCGCGCAACGCGACGCCAAAGTGGGAGAAAAAAATGGATGGATAAAGTTAAAGCCATTCTGATTGTGCGCCTGTGGTTGTTGGATGCAAGAGAACATTCCAGTGCATGCAACCGACAATTTTAAAGCGTTCTTCTGGCAGATCTATTGGCGCTTTCAGAACAAGGAACAGAACACTTTTTCAGTTTGTTAGTCTTTTTTTACTAGTTTTTGTCATCTCGCCTTATCCTGGTGAGAACTGTAGACTCTCAACACAGAAGAAGATGCTGTTGCATGCTTCGCAAGAAAAATAGGTCCCCACAGAAGCTGTAGACACTGATCGTTGCAAACCAACAAGATGCTCCCTCTAAGCCGAAATGAAGCAATTTGTTCTCCTCTTAATGCCAATTCAAAACCAGCGCACGCCGTCAAGTATGGAGCGGAGGCAACTGGCAACTTCGTAGTCTCGAGTGAGAACCTGAGTGAGGAAAGATATATAGCCTTGAAGCAGGCAAGCAATATCAAGTAGTGGGAAACGGACTAGCGCCGCGCCAAATCTTTTCCCCTGACACACCCAGCATCCACAAGCGAAAGACTGTGCTTTTGAGCCGCATGTTGCACGAGATTCAGGGCACGACCCTTCAAGGCAAGGAAAGGAGCGCCTGTTCATAATTTCTTGGGGAAATAATTGTTTCACTGATGTTTTTGTATAAAAAACTAGTTTTGATCTGCTAAACCTCACAGGCTTGCGCTCGCCAAGGTAGTTTGCGAAGAAAAACGACACACCTAGTTTTTTTTCGAGAAGCTTTCTCCAACTGTTAAGTACGAGACAAAGCGATGAGGTTGTAATGAACCTCGTTACCATTTATGGTTAGTTACAGCCCTTCTTCCTTACCTACTTTCGGCCTCTTGTTTTGCCCTTTACTGCACATGACGCTGACCCGACTTCTTACTTAACGCCCAGGTGCGTCGAGAAGGATCGAGTTGATAGTGAGATCCTGCAAGATAACCTAGGGAATGCGTGCACTTCTGCAATCAGCTTTTAAAGGAGTGCAAAAACATTTTTGGACAATTTCCACCGTAAGACGTGCGCATCATTGGGAATTTTGGAGAATAGATGCGAGTATTTGTGTCGTAGACGACAATATCTTTCTTAGCAGGTGAAATCCGAGTTCAGGCTCCAGAGGATGCTGACAACCTTTTCTCGTTGCTGTCTGGTTCTCTGCAGGATTCATCTCCTTGGGAATCCCCGACTGTGGTGAGCCCTGGGTGGGAGGGGAAAGGCCGCCCAGAACACACCATCGCGACTGCGCTCCTATCTACACTCCCTTGCACGCCCTCTCTCGCCATTGAATATACTGACTGTACAAGTAATCCTCCCGGTACTCGTTGCTCCTGATCTTTTTAGGTGTCTCTGACGGTTTTATTTCTGGTAAGGTAATCAGCATCCACGAGGTCATATTAACTTTCCAGTTCCACGGATTTCAATCACGGAAGTCGTCTGTGAACGCTTTCAAATCGGGGTACTGCATCGCTGTGTGAAACACGTGGGGGATCGTACTTCGCCTAGGGAGGAAGGGTCGTATCTGGTCGTTGCTGGGAGAGGGAGGGGGTGGTCGTGTGGCTTTGATAAGGAATTTGCTGCGTTGAGAAAAAAATTTTCTCGGTTGCTGACTTTTCGCGTGATTTGTCTGTTTCATGTGTACTATTTACCTCTTCGCTCAGCAGCAAAACTCTTTGGTAAAAGTGGGGAAATTTTCGTCGGGAAATTCCGGAAAAAGTGGCAGGAAGTTGGAGAAAATCTAAAGTTTTCCCGTTTTCCTCGAGAGAGGGGTCGGCGGGGCTTATGCTCATTGTTGGCCAGCTTGAACTCTCCTATCGTTCACGTAACCCTTGTGACCAGTGTTCAGGATGGGCTAATATATGTCTGTGTGTCTGACTTTGAGAAATCTTGCACGCTGGCCGATGGTTTGTTGTCAGCAGTGAAATATGAGGATTACAACTGTGTTGGCACACACTGGCAACGGTGCAGTCGGTCGTTGTGTTAGACGCACTCGCCCCTCCGTTTTGTTTTTTCGAACCTTTTCAAGAATCGTCGGAACAGGCTTTCATCTTACAATTGCCACCATTGCATAACTCTCAAGACACCATGTCTGGCCACTAAAGAATCGAAAGGGTAATGACTAATTTTTCGCCCGTTCCTTTCTGAAGGAGACAATTCGAGCCCCTTCAAGACTGCAAAAAGCTTCTACAACCGCTTTGTAGGTGTAATATTTTATTTAGCACTATTCTCATAGAGTTGGGCATCGTTATGCATTAATTCGTGCGCGAATGCGGTAATCCTGGTTTTGCGCCGGGAGTCGTCTAATTGTAAGGGCAGTTGGCACGATCGGACGGGGCGGGCGATTGTGGCCAACGCTATTGGTGGAAGTGGGGTGTGGTCAAACGCTCTCTCGCAGTCCTTTCGCCACTGACGCTGGCAATACCGTCCACTTCCTCCGCCCACTGCCTTCAAAGCTACGGGGTGTCTTGCTGCAATATCCTAATTGAAACTGGGCGAATATTATTTTTTCCTAAATTTTTTAATAAAAAAATTGGAGTTGCTAATGGTGGGGACCATTTATCGCATCTCTGATCAAGCTTAGACTTATTGGAGACCTGTCTTCTATTTTAGTGAGGACATTTCTCGGCGACTAGTCGTCTGCGCTCTAAGCCTATGCTTTTGTTAGGAGAAGAGAAGAAGAGACTCAGAGGGCTGCCGGGTGATCCCTCCGCACCAGATTAGAGCTAGAAAAAACATTTGTCATATTTGTATTTCAGGGGCCTTGGGTGCCTCGTCCCCTCCCCCCCCTTACTAATATGTACTTCTGTTTTTGATAAAAAATATATCCAGAATGCGCTCAGAAATCTCGGCAAAGAAAAATAAGTGCATTTAGGTGTCAGTGACCTCCATTAGTGTAACAAATTTGTGTAATGGCAATGATGTCGCTATCAAAAATTCACGTGGTCATCCCGGGTGCGAACTAAAATTTGCACAGCAATTTTTTTTGCAGAACTTACCTCAAACTAGTTTTCTATCAAAGTTTCTTTTGCACCAGCCTTCAATCTATCTTTGACAAACATGAATTGCTCTATTTATAATGCGATAATAAAAGAATCAGCGCTATTCTAATAGGGGCATTCAGCGCTATAAGGTGCGAAGAAACGATTATAAGCTGGAAAGATGAGAATTTTCGCTCTGAAGGGAAGAGAGCTCCAGGGTGAATAAACCAATTCATTTGTGCGAAAAACTTGGTTTTAAATTTCTCGAGCGCTGTGCAGCAAACGGCGGTCCCAGACCTCTTTCAGCTGCAGGGCGCCCTCGTCTTTTCTTTATCCTTTCCCTCTCTGACTTCTTTCCTCCCTGTTCCTTCGTCCCCCCCCGCCACCCCCGTGCCTTTCCAAGGCTCAGCCAGAAGACGCAATAAGACTTCGCTGGAGGGCTTTTGCAGCGAGAGGCGATCTGGGTGATAGATGCATGGCAACCGAAAATGGGTTCCAGCTTGACGCGGTGGAGCCGCGCGGCAGCGCGTCAAAATTCCTTTCTTTGGTCGAAGCTGGTCCACGGACAACTCGAACAGAATCCTTTGAATCGCGCCAACCCTGTTTTATTTCAACCTTTTTGTATGGTTTGTAGCTCACCCACTCGAGAGTCTCCTTCTGGAAAGCCCATTTCTTTGCTTGCCATACGTTTTTTGCGTCTTTTGACAACCGTAGTCCTCTACCTCTGTGCTCTTTGGCCTTTCGCGCCTGAACCGCCAAACGAGAATCAGCCTCGGCAGAGTGCAAACGGCGAGAATCAGCGCAGCTACAGGTTATAAGACATCTGTCAACCGGACGCTCTCTCCCTTTGAGGGTCCAGAGGTGTTTTCTCATCACATCTTCTGCTCGGGCATTTAGAGGAAGGAAAATAAGAAAGAAGGATGAGAAGGAAGAAGAAACAGAAGGAGAAAGGGAAAAGGAAGAAGGAGGAAGGCTGCACGGTTGACAGATATCCTGAGAGCCAGCTCTAGAGGGCACACGTGGATGCTTCGTATGCCCCTTTGGACTACATAAGCTTCCCAACATTGCAGTAACGCAGGTTTTTAATAGTGGTACGGCTTCATTAATAAGAAATTTGACAGTAATAGTGAGGACGAAGTGCGCACCAGGAGTTTGGCGCTTCTATGCCTAACTACACGGTCCTGTCGCGAAAACCTGTACTCGTAACCAACAATTCAAGAGGCTTTGGCTCGTTTCGGACAGGTTCCTGCTACGATTTTGTTTTTCGTTGTCGACTTTGTGAACATAAATGTTGAGATGCATGAGTTGCTGTCCCGATTTACATCATTTTTCACCAGTTTCAAGTTCTCAAGTTCCTTTATAGGCGTTGTTTCTGAAATTATAACATTTCACATAGTTCTTGATTTTGGTCGACAAGGATGTTTTTGAGTGTTTAGGAAGCATTTCTTGTTGTTTTCAATGCCCAGTTTTTTTCTTATTGGGAACGGATCCAGCAAAATATCTCATGCAGCCTTATGTCCCTGTGAGTAACGGCAATATTCCTGGATTTATTATTTAGAAACTCGATGTCCCACTAGGTTAGCTAAAGGTTTCATGTGTTATTTCTATTGGAGAGCCATGTCTCCCCATCTGCATCGTAGTTTTCATGAAAAGGTAGAAGGTTGTTCCAAGAAGAAATCCAGAAGAGAAAATAGGCGGGAACTTGTCAGAAGTCGTAGATGGTAGATGTGGCTCGATTGTGCTTTTGGATTTGCCGGCGGGGTTGAACGTTGAGAGTTTTTGCCTCCTAAACGAATAATTCGGAGAAATTGTGCAAAAATGTGTAGAACACATGGATACAATTAAAATTTACTGAGGAGGCGTTTTCTGTTGCAACTGACTGGATTGCACTGAGCAGCTGTAATAGCTTGTTGTAAGGTGCTCATGCAAAACTTTGCAGTTGCATAAACTTTCTAAGCCATCCCTTGCAGCGATTAGTTCTGCTCAAAGGCCAAATACGGGGTTATTTTGCATATAGCCAAACTGGTCCCATGTGACAAATTATCAAATTACCAGCTGATGTGTGGAGGTGTGGTATTTCGGTGCAATAGTTCGTGCGATTACGGTAATCTCAGTTTTTCACAGGGAGTCCTTTGAGGCTAATGCCGAAATTGTCGGACTTCCAGCAATTTCGGCACCGAGCTCATTTTTAAATTGCCTAAGTCACCAAATCCGCTAAAAACTTGTATGTAGGGGTAGTTTAACATCCTGATTACGAATATGACATTCACTCTTGCCGCTGGCGCTAATGGATGACACTACGATTATCTGCGCTCTGCTAAGGCTGAGCCCAGGAGGTAATCGTAGTGTCATCTCTTGGCGCCAGCGCCAAGAATGAGTGTCATAATTGTAATCACGATGGTAAATAACCCTTGTGTACATGTTTTCAGCGGGTTTGGTGACTTAGGCAATTTAAAAATGAGCTCGGTGCCGAAATTGCTGGAGTTCCAAACGGCATTAGCCGTATTTGAAGCTGCGGAATGTTGCGGCATAAATTCTGCGCCACCTCTTTGCATTTTTATGTCCGACGGCATTTGGTGCTGAAAGGTAAAAAAACATGACTCTAGGATGCGATTTTTGGCCTCGGTTGTATACGATGTCGTAGTAGAACAAGTGCCCTCCCCCACCCAATATGCTTTGAAGGTGCAGTCTGCAGTTTTGAGTCAGCCCCCTCTCTCAGGCTCAATCTTAGCAGAGCGGTAATGGCACTGGTGTCGAGAAATGAATGCCACATACGTGATCAGGGCATCAAACAACCTTATTATGCAAGTTTCTGTCGATTTTGATGAAAATGGGTGTGGCGCCAGATTGGCGTATAATGGCGCCAGATGGTGAGAGGACTAAAAATAAATGTCATGTTCGTGATCAGGGTACCGAGCAACCCTTACGGGCCAAGTTTGACCAAAGAAAAAAATTTTGTTCTAGAGTAGTGATAGTTGAATAGTGCGAAATATGTTTAGGGTGGTTTCGATGCCTTGGACACCATAATGCCCCACCTTATTGGAACAGCTCCCCTCACCCTTAGCCCTCTGTTATTATTACTGCTGGGCAACCTATTCTCCCTCAATAGTGTGAGCGCGAGTCTGCCTCTAATCAGCCACCTCAAACGCGTCATGGTTGAGCACATGGCTTAGTATCAATCATTTTTTTTGAACTATGCAAACGACTGGTGGATTATATATCACAGAAAATGCTGCCAAAGTTCTAATCGAAAGCAGGAAGAGAAAACTTGTGGTGGGCTGGATCTTCTTAAGAACTTTTTGGTTATTTACTTTCCTTTAGGACACCCGATGATGGTGTTGTTTGTCATTTACTATGCTGTTTGATGATGTTGAAAAATACTGTTGTGTTGAAAATTTATGGAAAAACATGCTGCGTTGAAAATTTTATGTGGATCATCGCGCAGGGTACTCGCTAGCAGGACACGTCATCGCGTTGTGAACGTTTCCTGAGAAATACGACCCCCCTAATTCCATCCTCAAATACGACCCCCTCCTCCCCATGCTACCTACCACTTTCCTAGATTTTCCCAACTTCCTACCACTTTTTCCATTTTCCCAAAGAAAAAAATTCCAGTTTTTCACTCAACAAATTTCCGTCAGCGGGAAAGGGGGGGGGGAGGAAGGGGATATATATATATACCCAATGTAAACAGGAAAATCTACTCAGATTTTCGCTGACATCCTACCAGCTTTTCCGAAATTTCCCGAAATTCTGGTTTTCCCCCAAAATTTTGCTGTCGAGCGGGGAGGGGGGGGAGGTCGTCAGGATTTAACTATCATTTTCAACTATCGGAAATAGTAGTTGTATAGATCTTTGGCAGTCCCTCTCCCAACAACGACCAAATACGACCCCCTCCTCGCGGTCAAATACGACCCCCGTTGTGATCATCACAACGATGGCGTGCCCTTCTCGCTAGCGATCACAATCGCCCATTGGAGCGCATTGTCGCCGTTAGTGATGCCCAGTGCTCTCTTCCGTTGCTCTGCCCTTTTCTGCTTTGCTCGTGTGCTCTCATCTTGGACGCGTCTTTTGCCGGATCGATGCGCCCTTTTTCGAGGGTCGGAAAGGAGTGAGACGGAGGGAGTTTTGCACAGCATCGACTGGTGTCGCCGAGCCAATTTCGCCAATACTCTCACCAGTACGCAATTTTTGCTAGTTCAGTGGCGTCGTACTTAAATAGTTCTTTCGTACTTTTTTGCAGGACATGTTTACGGATTCTTTTCGTAAAGGCTGTCACTAGTCGCTCCGGACATCGTGTTCATCAATTTATGTGACGGAAAGTCCTAGAATCGGTCTAACAATGTCTGATGTGTTCAGTATTGAAGGCGTACAACATCTTTAAAATAGTCGCTCAATTTCCCGTAAAGTGGAGCATTGGTGCAGTTGTTCGTGCTGATTACAGTTATCCCAACTTTGCACAAAGGAACCTCTAGAGCTAATTAAATGCTGCGAGATCGTTCCTACGTCAGCTCTACCTACGTTTTTTTTGATGTTTGACGGCACGCAGTGCGAAAAACATGCGAAGAGGCACAAAAGAAAAAGGATGAAAGTTGTACCCAAGTAGGGTACAGCCTGAGATGGGTGAAATGGCGGTGTCGGTGCGATTCCTCTCCCCCCCCCCCTTCCCACCGGCACGACTCAATCCCACAACTCAATTGCGTTCTTACCATTTTGTTCTAGAATTTTGCCTCAAGAGCGAGGGTAAGGTGCAGACACCTGCCATCAGTCGTCACAAGTAGTAGCTTTGTCGCATTTCCAACTGGAGATATATATACAGCGCCAGTAGAAGGGGAAAGATCAACAATAGAAACTATTTCTCGAGGCCATATTCATTTTCTCTCCCTCAGCGATCAGATCTCTACCCCTGATGATTTTTTGAGCAGAGACATTGGGCCCTGGTCGATACCTAGGGCGAAAGGGAAGCTCCAGAGTGGTGAGGCTATGTTCATCGTACACGAACAGCGCCTTGAAATGTTGTCAGGTTCAGAAATTTTCGAATGAGATGGTCCTGGTCGTTTCTCGGAATTAAGCTCGGTTCATGTGGTTCTGGGCGCTACTATTGCCTGCTCGCTTTGAATACAGACATTTCCGAAGGCAATTCAGTTCTTTTGACAATGTTACGCTCAGCTATAGATACAACCGATGTGGATTTTGGACGGCTAAAGTGTCATTCAACATCGCGATTCCCATGTGTAAACGAGCATCGCCGCATATTATTGTGCGTACGATTTCTTCATAGCATATGGGAACCACGTGGATGTATAGTACTAGATTTTAGAGCATACGCCAGGTTATTGTTCAGCTGCTGATGATTTTTTCGATTTGCAGTCGTTTCTTAGTACTTTGCTGATTGACAGCGTTCGCGCTCCACTGCTAATCGTTGGACCGCCGCAAAAGCTGATTTAACCACTTTTGATCTTGAAAATCACTATGAGGCAGGTGTGGTGTAGTGGCAAGCAGCATGCTTACATGCGCGTGATCCCGGGGGAAGCCTCGAAATGATTCGCGTTCAGGCCAACCAGGCCTTTTACCCTCCAAGAACGGTAAATTGGTACAGATTCGTCTGGGAGGATAAAACACTGACTTGTACATCGGCTGGCCCCCGCAAGTCACTTGTATAGGCCATATCGCATACAGTAAGCCATTTCGGTTCTAAAAAGAACTAGAGTGCGCGCCAAAAAGAGACTGACCAATGGCGAAATTTTTAACTCAATCATTTTAGTCATCGAAATAAAATTGATTCCGAGATTTTGCAGCGGTGCAACTATTGGCTGTGAAGCGCGGTCAGTCGCCAGACGCAGTCTGAATTTTGAAAAAAAAATTCTGAGAAAATGGGTGCAAATGCAATTGGCTCCATCTCGTAGCTTTACAGGATTTTACAGAACGTTAGTTTGTCGTACTGCCCTCCATTCAGAGGAGCACACCCACTTTTTTTTAACCTAGGGCTGTTCTTCCAGTACTTGGAGTGGTACTCTTTCTTTGATCTTTCGCCACTTACACGATTTGACTATCATTTTGACAGGTCTTTCCTACTTATCCCATGCGCTATCACTTATCACCTATAATTACTGCATAAGAGTGGGTTCTAAAGGTTTTTTGCCCCAATTTTGAAAGTACGTACTCCAACTGTGATCCTGCCGTTTTGCTTTTTGTGGGCATCCTTTCTATTTTCAGTTATCAGGGTGGTCATTAACTGCAGCTCTCTTTACCAGCATATTTGCATTTCGTATATCCCAACGAGAATGCAGATCTATCAACTACAGAATTCATTTTTCAGTAAAATCTATTGTGTAAATAAGTCGTAACGGCAGATTCGATATTTCAAGCCGTAAACCGCGTCCCATTTCAATGTTTACTTTGAGTGAGATTCAGCTCATTTCCATTCGTTCCTTGGGCGGCTCCTCTTACCATTTGCGTGAAGGTGCTCGCGCTCGTTTCGCATCGCATCAGTCCTATGCCTCTCCACATTTTTTCTTCTGGAATGCCAGGAATTCCAGTTTCTGTCGTTTCCATTCATTTTCAATCGATGTCACCATCATGCGTAATAGCTCACATTTCCTCTTTTTGATATTTAATGATCAATGGTTCGTATAGATAGTAGAAGGCAGCGGGAAATTTGCCGAAATTCTCTTACGATTTCTATGTCTGGTTATGTCTGTTTTTGAGAGAGACATCTGGTTTATGAAAGGAATGCCGGCGCTATTCCAGCCTAGGGCACTCAACTCATTCATAACCGCAACTTTTTGCTCAGGCGCCTCGTTTCACCCAGCTTAGGCCGCATTCATACATGACAACTCTGCAGAAACGAAACTGTGGAAAGAAGAAAGTATATGTATCGATTTGCAAAACCGCATAATCGGGAGAAATGCAGAAACGCGGAGTCTACAGAAATGCTGGAATGACGGACCACCACCTGATAGGGATTGTGCCCTCCCACTGTAGAAAACGCCGATTCTGTGATATTTCGGCATTTCTGCAATTTCCGTATTTCTGCACTTTTCCCAACTCCGCAGTTTCTCTTATCGATACACAAACATTGTACCAACAGTCTCGCCATTTTTTTCAAATCGATACCCATACTTCCTTTTTTCTGCAGTTTTCTCGCAATTCTGCGATTTTCAAATCGATACGTATACTCTCTTCTATCTGTATTTTCGTCATTTCTTCGAATTCTCATGTATGAACGCGGCTTTGCAGTTCTCGTGAATGAAGGTTCGGGCAATAGCACCATCTTCACACGTTCCAAATGTTTCACCTTAGCGCCAGAATACCCTCAAACAATTACCCGTTTTATTGACATGTTCACCTTTCAAGGGTGATAGTTGTGAACCAGATTGCTATGCCATTTGTGTTGTGTTCCCCACAATTTCACCACAGTCTTATTCCTTATGGCAAATTGTGTGAAAAATGCGGTCTTGTTCGCTGCGGATGATGGGCTTGCCAACCCCTTTCTTTCTTTCAGCAAGCGAAGTACTGTACATGTAGTTCGTATCAGTCGTTTCCCAGCAGTTGTCGCTTATCAGCTTTGTCAAACGCAGCAGCGGACACGCCCCATCATCCGCAGCGACGAGACTGCACTGCCGCAGATTTTCCGAAACCGCCAGCTTGCCCCCCCCCAATGGTTTCTGCTGTTTGAAACGGTTTCATGTGCGAACCTTGACCTTACGAGGATCAATATCGGTCAGTCTCAGCACGTTTTGCGACATTGCAGGATCCTGATGAGCCCCTTCTTTTTCCTCGCAGGGCATCTTCCGGAGCATTGCATTTGCAGCACAGACTTGTTTGTTTTCCTCGCACGTGCATTCACGACATGATACTATTTGTATAAGTAAGAGAAATAATTTGATACAATCAGTCGTGCTGCCCCTCGCCATCGTTGCGTTTCTGTGCCATACATGTACACTTTTGGCATTTTGCCAAGAAGTGCACGTGTTGTGTTCATTAGTCATGTGATTCTAGAATGTTCTATGTTTCTGAAAAGTTTCATATTCTCGTTATTACAATTTCGTTTCGATGCTCAACACAGTGCCTCTCATGTTTCGCCCCTTCAGGCGGCTGCAGCGATGACGTACGGCGTCGGCGTCGCGCAAAACAACGCAGATCTCGGTGGTGGTGGCGGAATGAACGACGAAGAATACGATGAGAATTCATCCGCACGACTATTCGAACGCAGCCGTATCAAAGCACTTGCGGGTTAGTTATGTTTACAAGGTCGTCTTTTAATTTTTCGTGTTTTTGTAATGCCGCTCACGTTTTTTCACTAACATTTTGGAACGTTAAAATATGCTTTTACTATCAGTGAACGGAATATTTCACATCATTAACACATTCACGCGCGTGGCAATTCTTGCGGGCTGCAAGGGACGCTTGCTAGTGGGACGATTGTAGCTTGCCTGTCAGCTAATTTTTGCCTGCCAGCTGTCAACTTATTTTCAATTGTTTCTGATAAACCTTTCCAAACCACATTTCTCACCTCTTCTCCCCATCGTCCAAAATACAAGCCAAAACCTGATCAAAAATCGGCGCAGTTCGGCCGCGAGGGAGGGGGGGGGGCATTTTGCATTTTTGCCACTTCCCATCGACGAGTCTAGCCATCAATGGAGACGTGTGAAATCTTGTGAAGCCGCGACATCCAGTCCAAGTTTGTAGTTAGTTCACCATGGTGCCTTGACGAGCCTGCTCCAGCTTCACAAGATTTCACCAGAGTGAGACTTGTGAACCGGAACTAGTAAACCACGCAAGGGTGTAGAGTTCCCTTCCCCCACACCCCGTTGGCAAATACGAAAACTTTTCCCTGTTGTAGATTCTGCTAGAATTTCCCTCATAGAGTAGTTTGCCTCCAAAACCTGGCTATCCAATCCTTTTGACTCAAAACCGCCTGGCGCCTACCCCATAACAACTCATCACGGCTGGTTAGGAACTCCTCGGAAGAAGAAGTTTGACGCTCTGACTATGAAATCCCCATCCGCTTGCAGCATGCTGCGAGTGCCGACGCTAGACTGGATTCTAGCGGCGATGCTTCCAATATGGGCGCGAGTAGGTTTGGCCCAGGTTCATGAGATAAAATTACATCCTGTTTCCAAGGAACCATTTAGAGCAAGATCTGGACAGATTCTTGAGGAGTGGGGTAAAAATGGTTAAGCAGTGCCTAACGAACTAATCAGAATATATGAACATAGAAGAAAAATGGCGTTCTTCGTTAATGGTTTAGAGGTCGCACCACCTACAGGATGGTTTTTGGAATAATTATGCAGCAGTATTTTTAGTCCCCTGAGTTCGTTTTTTGAAAAAAAAAACAGATGGTGGCTCCACCCCTCAGGAAAATTTCACGTTCGATGCATTCATTTTATGGTATGAGAGTGACTATTTTTTCGTTTTTTTTTCTTTTCGTTTCTGCGTCATTGACTCCAGAGCCCACGTCATCTTGAGTCCTGATATGATGTTTTCCTCGAATAGTTGACCGCTATTTCAAGTGGGTGCCATTAGGTTGCTTGGGACCAGCTTAAGTGGCGTCACTTTCAATCGGTGTGGCGTTTTGTGTCATTTCGCATTGGTGTCGCGTCTGGTGTTGTTGATAGTGAGTATGATGGTCGTCATTCACGCGACGCAGTCATGCAAGGAATTGAGGAAAGCGTGGTTTGAGCGAGTGTTGAGGGTGTTGCTCGCTGGTTTTATGGGGGGGGGGGGTACAGACAGCTGGTCTAAACCTGCTGGCCAGCATGTCGTCGAATTGGGCTAAAAGACGCCGTAATTATAGAAACCTTTGGTGTCCATTGGGTATTGTTGGTGGTAATGGTAATGAGGTGAAGGTCTGAGTTCATCAGCACCTCCAGCTTCAGCTCTTTTGAAAAGTCGCTAACAGCTACCAGCAACCTTTATAGTGGACTCGTCCTCAGTTCTTCAGAAAGAAGCTTGTTTTTGATGGTTAGCCACAATCTGTTGTGTACGAAAAAGTGGAACTATGTGAGAACTGAGCGCACTTCACTTTAGAGAAGACAAATTAGGGTACAGCATTACGACATCGGTAAGGGTGAAACTGCGTGTTAGGCAGCGTTCAGACTTTGTGACGGCAGCGTTTCAACCGCGCGTTCGACGCGATCGATGCGCATGCTTTCGACTGCATTGATCGCGTCGAATGCGCGACCGAAACGCTGCCGTCGTGAAATCTGAACGCTGCCTTAGTACGACCCGTCTCTCCATATTTCCTCCTCGTTACGTAGGAGCCTCTCCTCACAACCTACTTACCATCTTATCGAACTTTCTTGGAGTTTCAGCGTCGTGGCGCAGGGCTAGGACCTAACACCTCTGTTCAAATACCAGAAGGTAGTTTTCCGCAATCTGCCATGCTGCCGATCTGAAAGGGCAGGTTTTGTGAGAATTTCAACTATCGGATTTCTCTCTATGCCGAAGACGACTCCCCCGGTGAGTTCCGAGCAGTGATGCTGTGCCCAGAATGGAGGGGCGAGAGGTTGTCACTTTCTTCTGCAAAACTAGAAAATGTTGGAGTTTCACTTTCAAATACTTCTTAGGCAAGTTGGCTCATGCTTCTTGGACTTCCCTTCCACTGAGCATAAGCGAAAGTCTATTATTCCAGCTTACAAGTCCTTCCTCCACTGATGTCTTCAACCTTCCTCCACTGATGTCTTCAAATAGAAGAAGAAAAAGGAAGAATCAGCGCGGGAATGAAGTACACCCCTCTTTTTTGCAGATGTGCAGGAGTTACAAAGGTGGCCCAGCGGAAAATGCTCACCAGGGGGTAGGGAATTTATGGAATACTCTCCTCAGATTATAAATCGGTCTCTGACTCGTTTCGAAAACTATTGAATCGATTTTGGGCTTCCTTGTAATACAAGAATGCCGGAGTTTGCTGTGCGGGTGCTTTTTTATATGATCGATACACGTTGCAAACGAGTTCTACTAACGCCTGTGACTGACAGCGGTAGGTCCGATGCAGCCTATTCCCTCATGGACACTGAACTGATAGCAGCTGAGGAGGACTACCTTTGTTGAGGGTGTAGTAAATGCTGGCTTGACAGCTTGTTCGTCGATTCATCAAGTTACAAATTAATTTCGCACGCACTGCGCTACAAGGGATTAACTCGAAATGCTATTAAGCCAGCCTAGCAGTATAGCCGAGCGAAGGGGTTACGTTGCCTGACGGTTCAAACCATGAATTTGAGAAGAGGAAAGCTGGTCATCAGTGTTTTCATACTATTGAATCAATATGGGAGTTATGAGGTGCTATGTTACAACTCCCCGGCCTTTGGCAGAATCGCATCCTTCGGAGCCTGGAAGAATCGGAGCAAGCCATGACTGCTCAATGCAGGTCATTACGTAATCGCGAAAAGGGCCACTCACCGCCACACGGGAATATGGCGGTGTCAAGAATAAATATTCATGGATTTTCATGTAGAAAATGCAGTCCGCACAACGGGCTCAGATTATGTGGTATCTGCACGAAGCGGGCTGTCATTTGTTTATTGGTGGCGGTTGGATGCTGGAAGAATTAATGTTGAGCGGCTGATTCCCGCGGTCGCAGTTGGGCCTTCATCGTGGCGCTCGATTTGATTGCCTGATCGGCAATTGCCGCTGCAAGCAAGCCCAGCCGCATGCGAGGCTATTGTGCTCAATTCCCTCGCTAATGAGTAGAATGCTGTTCGTCAGCTGAACACCAGAAAGAGAATGTGAATGGGATACTCTGAGGACGCTATGAGTTCAAAGGAACCACAACCTTCACGGCTAATAAATCGCACATTTCGAAATTTGAAGACAGGTGACTGGAAGGTGCATATAGTGGAGATCTGCACCTTTCACGGTGTCTGAACACGGGAATTTAGCGACAGTGCAGTAGTTTTTGCTGAGTACCTGTCAAATTAAAGCAAGACCTTGTCAGTTAATGCGGTTGCATTTGAAAGACACTTACACATTTAGCTTTCCACCCTTTGCCACTTCTATTCGGCAGTTGTATTTCCTGCAAAGTCCTCAGTCCACGTTTAGACGAGGTTTGGCTAAGTTAGGGTGTGGAGCGTTACTTTTCAGGGCGTGCTTCGGCGGTGGAGGTGGAGGGGGGGGGTCATTTTGCTGCTTCGCTTCTTCTCATTGTCGTGTTGCTTTACAAAAGTTGACAGGTGGACTGTAAATCTATGGCTGATGTGTTTAATGGCTCGACACGTTTATGGGAAGTAGTGGAAACGCAAAATGCTCCCCCCCCCCGCGTTCGCGGAACTGCGCCCTTTCCCTGTTTCGTTGCGTGTCCAAGCGTTTCAAGCAAGTGATGTGCGCAGAAATACCCAAACTACCCAACATGGCAATGGCGCCGCTCGTCGACTTTATTTCCCTGGTCAACCGTACTGCGATGCCGCGAATGGAAAGGAAAGCTCTGCGCCCGCTAAGTTGTCGGCTAATTCATCTTTTCAACAGAACCTGCATCACCTGTACTTCCTGTCCACCGAGTCCCTCGAGCAAACGCTTGTAAGAAATCGTCCCGTAACCAGCTAGTGTGATCCAATGGACTCCCTTTGCTGATCGGGCATGCGCCACTTCATACAATTCATTCTGAGCTCTTACCGAGGGGCCAGACCCATTGGCTGTCACCCAGGTGTTCGTTTGACATCCAGTGGAGTCAAGTTGATAATCACTCCTGTCTTGTGGTCATTTAACACTTCTGCTTGGAATACCATCGACAAACCTGGAAATGACCATTGAAATTGCTCACCGTAGAAGAGAAAAGCTGCAAAATGTATTGCATATGGGTCTTGACTGGTTTTCTGGGTTCGGGGATGGTGGTGCAAGGTGGTTCTTCAGACAGGCTGTTCGTAAAGGCTAGGCAGACGTACAAAGATTGTGAATATCTTCTATAAATCTTGATAGTCGTTTTCCTTTGCGGATCTACTGAAACTGTGGAAAGTTGTAGAAATATGGGTCTCAGAGCAGGTCTTCAGCGTATCAGAGCGCTTGTGTGGCTGGAGTGTACTTAGTGGTCTGTTATATTGTTGACATAGTGTTTATGAATGCCTCACATATGCGGGTCGCCAAGTTTGCACTGCGGGTCAATAACGGAGGAATGGCAGACGGGCGTCCGCCGCTGAAGTGGTTTCTTTCTGCGCCAGAATAAAGACAGGGGTGTGCTTTCTAGTGGTAAGCATGCCACTAGTAGCGAGAAGAGCCTCCGCTGGGAACATCTTGGTCGTCGCCCTTGATCTTTTTGAAGACTTGAAGGGCTCTCGTGAAGCTGTGTTTCGAAGCAGCTCGCAAAGAAAGTACTGGAAGGAAGGCTTTTACATTCCGGAAGTAGTTTTAATCTGTTAAGAGATTACTAAGGAACCTTCCAATACACCCAGTTTCGACGCGCGCGCATCCCAATCATCGATCAGTATTGACACCTATTTGATGAATAGCCCTTGGGTTTCTGTGATCAACATTACAACAACGAGAATCGCCGGGCTACACCCATATGATCCTCTGAATGTTTGCTACAACTTGGCATCGATAAAACACGTTAAGTATATACCTACACTGCAGTATTCTTGGGGCAATGAAAGAGACCCGAGTCACGTCTCCGCATGCTAGAAGCCTCTACTCCTGGCGAGTTGGCTTGCTATTGCACTTCTTCGTAGAAAAATTATGTAATGGCAACCTATTTCCTATCGAGTTTACGTCACGGTTACCGGTTCCATCTCAGAAAAATCACCATGGATAACTTTCCTTGTAGCTCGAGCTTTGAGGATTGCCCTATGAACAAATGCTATTCTGCAGTTTAAAGAGTAGAGTAATGATTGTGAGAAATGGAAGAAAGCAGTTAATCGATTGGCGGAGAAATTTTCGGCACTATTTACCTTTACTGCCCCAATCATCCGGAATCGAGCTACTTTTTTACCGGCTTTCTTCTCCGTGGGTAGTTCACATCCTGAATGCGAATATCACATTCGCTTGTCCGGTAATTTTGGTATTTTGGCGCTGGCGTCTGTAGCTTTAACGCCAAGGCGTTTCGTTTCAAGCGGATGTGATATTCGTGATCACGAGGTCAAACTACCCATAGGAACAAGTTTTCAGCGTGAATTAGGGCATTTTGGCGCCGAGCGGGTGTGGTATTCACATTCAGAAGGTGAAACTACCCAGGAGACAAATTTTTAGCCAGTTCCGTTCGCGGAGAAAAAGTCGGTCAAAAACTGGCCAGATTTCGGATGATTGGGGTAGTAAAGGGTGAATAGTGCCAAATTTTCCTCAGATTGCACTGGTATAGGTGTCAGAATGCCATGAGATGTTTGTGCGCCATGGGGAGTGAGGGGGGAGGGGATATTTGTGTGAAATTCTGTACATACCGAAAAATGATAAGTGATGCGATATGATGCGCCCAAAAAATATAGAAGTTCCATTACTGGTCCGCGTATCACTGGTTGAACATCTCAATAAATGGTTACGGTTTGACGCTAACCTGTAGACTTCGTCATTTAGGTTCTTCCAGATATCCCAGACGAAGCGAGTGCGAGTTTTGGGCGCACCAAGCGCGTCCGTTGGAAAGTTCAAGGGTTAAGCCTGGTTGTTTCAGATGGAGCGCAATAAGAGATCCGTCCAACTGCGATTCAGCGTGTTCTGCTGCATTGCTGCTTCCACTCGATCAAAGGCTATACCTTGCGTAAAAATGGAATGTTTCATAGGTTTTTTGCCTCTTTCCAGATACTGCGTCTCACAAGAAGCAAATTTGTTGCCACTACACGACTTCTCCTTATCTCACAATGCTGCCAATGTCCAGCGAAAAATTCCTTGCGTTCCTGTACGGTCGTGAACTATCTAGCTCGCTAGAGACTATTTGGCCCTAGTGGAATTGCCAGTTCCAGCTGCCGCCAGGTGCTCCTTCTTGTGTGCTGGCTTGATTTCTAGCCTTGGCCTGGGACTGGTTGGCTCAGCTTGGCAAGAGGCTCACCCTTTAGGCTGAATGCAATTGGCGAAGTAGCCGCTCCGTGCAGTGTGGCCGGTTCAAAGCGCACTGGTATCATTTAGTGCTGTATCATATCGCCCTGAGTTCAAATCCTGGGTCGACTTCCCGCCTAGGCCAACCAAGCCTTCTACCCTCCGGGGACGGTAAATTGGTACCAGATTCGTCTGGGAGGATAAAACACTGACTTGTACATCGGCTGGCCCCCGCAAGTCATTGTATAGGCCACATCGCATTCAATAAGCCACTACGATTCTGAATGGAAGTAGAATGCGTGCCGCATCCCACAAAGGGATTGATCAACGGCGAAGACTATCCTTATCCTTTATCATATCTACAGTAGATCGACGTCGATATGGGTAAGGCGACAGAAATCTGCAAGCATCCGGTCCCCTCCCCATTTCCCCTTCAAGGGAAATCGCACCCATAGGTGCTTTCACACCAAAGAGGCTGTTTTGAACCATTTTGGTAGGTAAACTATCTGGCTCATGCGATGGCACGCCTCAGATGGGCCAGAGGCACCCATCTTTTTTCTCAGAGACGTTTTAGTGAGCGCTCTCACCGACTGAGAACAAAAAGATGGGAAAACACGTTATATGATTCACTCGTACCTGCGATGTGGAATTCATTTTCATAAGTAGTGGGAAAAGAAATCCAGGGAGAGGGTTTGACTCATAAAAAGTGGGCGCTTCCGTCGCCGTCTTTGTCGGTGAATCTTTCTATGGCAGCGAACGATCGCGGAGCACGCCCGTAATCTCTGTGTGAATTGTGGAAAAACTGATGCATTCAACAACACTGATAACAGGACAAGTGATAACATAGAGTTAGTGGCTCAACTCTGCGATGGAATCGACCCTCTCTACACCTCGAATCGACCTCGATACTCATGAAGATGAGCTTGTTCATCTATTCGATGATACGGCAGCCACTGGATCACGCTTTCACCAAACACCCAGTCCAAGACTGGAAGTATTCATCTCTGCTAAGGACGTTTCCGTGGAACCGCGATCTCCTGGAGTTTATCCGGGATCTCCTGGAGCTCTGGAGGAGCATCGCAGGAAGGTCAAAAGCGCAGATGGGGGCCGTACATATTCTCGTACAACATCAGCAGATTTGCTCGACGGCTTCGTCGGAAAGCGATTGACTACTATTGATTTGAGAGTCGTCGGTCTAAAAGGTTTCTGGAGTTTTCTTTTCTCAATTAAGTTTTTTATTCTTGGAAAATTCTTGAGAATTCCAACAGAAAGCGTATATTTCATTGTAAATAATGAAAGCTGGTCTGTGTTTCCTTGAAATGAAAAGTTCACTGACAGTTTCGAAATAAATTCGGCTCATAACCTTAGTCACTCAAGGAACTCTTCAAGCCAAACTGAACTTCCTGCAAAGGAAATAGAATTTTTGCCTTATTCCTGAAGGCAGAGGACAGGCGGAGCTGGTGAACTCATCTAGAGAATAGTCTGTTTGGATGATATCACTGTCAATTTTGCACAAGGGATCGGCGCAGTTCGGTGACGGGGAGGGTCATTTCGCATTTTCACTGCTTTCCATCGCCATGTTCATTGCCCCCCCCCCCGGACTGTGCCCGAGGAAATCCTTCAAATACTTCGACCTCATGCTTATCAGCGCTGTATATTTCGGGCAGTTTCACGAACAGTATTTCATTTCAGAAGAACGAGAGCATGTGCAGAAGAAAACGTTCACGAAATGGGTAAACTCTCATCTAGTCAGAGTCAGCTGCAAGATTCAGGATCTCTATATGGATATGCGAGATGGAAAGATGTTATTGAAACTATTAGAAGTTTTGTCCGGGGAACGCCTGGTTCGTTCTAAAACTGTTATTACGCTTTGATTTTTTTTCTTCCGTTGGTGCGGTGCTGGCGCTTCAATAGTGTATGGGTGCAAAGATCTTTACTTAGTGTCGGTAGATAGCGCTATGAACTGAATCTATAATTATGTTAATGGGTCGCCTCTATGCTGACAGCTTTTTGCCCTAATTAATGGCAATTTTCGGCAAATCAGTTGACATAAGAGCGAGAAGAACCGGTTCCAGCCCAAGAATCACTGTGATCCTATTATTTGTTCGATAGTTTTTTTTTGCAGTACTTTTGGAATACTTCCTTGCCGG